TGTTTATCTGTGGTTATCGAAGCTTCATTACCTTCTGTCAAACTACTTTTGGTGGTTGTGTACTTCAGACCGGAATGACCGGCGGCCCGTACAGTTGATAATATATAAATACCGAACAATTAGGTAGTATCAGGCATGTTCAGATTCAAACTACAGGCGGTGAGGGAGAGCTAGATTGTCAAAATAGCAACTGTGTCCTTGGAATTAAACAGCTAACGAAGCAGCCAAAAGGGATAGCACCTTTGTTAAAAAATCGAGGGCGTACACTTTTTAGGAACGTTGAAGCTTTGGTAGAATACTAATAAAAACTTTGAATAAATAAAGATTTGCATTCAGTGTCGAATATTGGAAGGGTAACGAGATTCCTTGTATTGGTATAAAATATATCCTAGTGGTACTTGTAGGCCAGACACTGGGTAGACATAACTTTACGGTTCCAAATACCAGGGCTCGATGGACCTCGAAACTATTTTCGAAGTGGTCGCGATGAAAGCCAAATCTGAAGCAATTTACAGCGAGTGACAGAATGTTTTGCTGGGATTCGGTCAATTCCTTATTTAACGACGATGAGAGATGCCATAAAGACCACAGAAAGAAGCCACTACGGTTTTACGCTCATTTCATGAAAAAAACCAATAACCCCGTTAACTGACAAATTTTTGCAATTGTTTTCGGACGTTGGATTTATTGACCTGTGTGGACTTGTCAGCCAATGTCGCTGACGTGCAGTGATCTCTCACCTAACGCACACACGGTAACATTTGAGAACTCGTATAGGCTGTGCTCAACCTGGGTAATGCATAAGTTGAGAGAATTTGGCCGCCGTTTGACCTAACGCTTGAGGTATCACATTAATTAGCTGCTTTTTACTAAGGGCTTTGAGCATGTTGTAAGAGGCTCAATTCAGTTTTATTTATTATAGTGGCGAGTGGACTGAATTGTCATGCCCCGCCATTTCTCCTTTCTACTCCACCGTCCTCATACATCAGTACCCTATACAGGTCTGTCGTTGAAACGCAGCACGCTTGAGGGGAAGACGTACAAAGACCGAAATATGAAGCGTTTAGAAGAATCCAGGCTTTGTCCAAAAGGGAAGAGCACCAAGCATTAGAGGATGCCCAGCTTTCTTTAAATTATTCATACACGCATACTTTTTGTCCAACAGGCTTTAAAAGTGCATCACTTGCTTCTAATATGTAAATGTCCCTGCTCGCATCGATGAAATGGTACTATAACATTGAAAGATTAGCGCGCCGGAAGGTACTTATTACAGCAGATGATAGATCGTGGGAGCAGAGTAGTTTCGGGGCTCGGAAGAATATTTTACAGTAGTCAGAAGCAATAATGTCGTAGTTATTTTGTGCCCTCGGAACCAGCCCACCAAAAACCTTATCTAATGAGGTATCTTCCACTACCATCGGGGAGGACATAAAAACAGGTAGGTTTTAGGAAATTCTTGGAAGGGATAAGCTAACGACATTTAATGTATTGAGATAAAATATATGCTAATGGCAGATGAAAGCCAGACACCGGGTAGAAATAGCTTTACGGT